CGGGGGTGTTTGGGATTCATCGGGGGCACAGGGTATTTAGGATTCGTGGGGGGACACGGGGGAATTGAGGGTTTGTGGGGGGACGCGGGGGTATTTGGCACATTAAAAATCGGCCCACTGCCTGGTTATCAAACACACAACACACAGCCTTATTCCACGGGTTTGGTCCTTCACTAGATACTTATATTAACATTATTTCTTCACAATAAGAATGTCTAATGCCAAAAATACTGTTAAGGAAGAAATAAAATAAGAAAAGAAACGAATTAGAAAAAATTACAAGTTATATACAGATTAAGGTGAATTCCATCGGGAAAGGCTTATTGTCTGAAGTTGGCCCCTCGGGGAATAATTTAAAGCCCGTGGCGTGGGGAGGCGGGCGGTCCGGCCGGGGCTGTGCCGTCTCTGCTCTTCGTGGCAGGTCTCCGGCCCCCAGGTCCAGTCCGCTCAGGAGCCGGCCCACCGGCCGAGGGCCCAGGCGGAGCGCGGGGGTGGCGGTTCGTCCCGGACCTTAGGGCTCAGGCACCCGCGAGCTCGGGCACGAGCTCCCTTCCCCGCGTCCGTCCGTGTGCCGGGCTGGCTGCGGGTGGGGGGCGGCTGGGTCGGACCGCGGGCTCTGCTCGTGAAGAAGACAAGGGGGCGCCGCACAGAGGTGGCCGAGCACAGACCCGGGGGAGGCTCACGAGTGCCCGGCCCACCTCTGCCCTGGAGCCCGGGGCCACCACTCCCATCTTCCCCACATAACTGGGGGGTCTTGGGAGGGGCCACTTGGGGGCCACGGGCATGAATCCCCTGTCACACAATGACAGGCCCAGCTCCTGGTGCCAGCCTTGGGCCAGCCCAGGACGCCATGCGTGAGGATGCCTCGTACTGTCTGAGACGGCTTGCGGGAGTGGGCCCCGCGCCCTCGGCCCCGTGTCGGGGGCCCCCAGAATCACCTGGGCTTTACAAACGCGGTCGGGGTAGAAAATCTCTCCATCATCTACAGTATAAAGAACTTGCCCAGTGCACTGCAGGCAGGCTTGGGTGCGCACACAGGCCGAGATTTCAACGCGATGCAAAATTACTTTTAAAAAACAATTTGCAAGTCGTTTTTCAACTTTCTTTTTAAAAAATACTGTCTATTTTTAAAACCACGTGCTTAAATAGACTCTGTCTTCGATAAGGTTACCAAAAGAGTTTCTCTCGTAGTCTTCGTTATAAAAATCATTTGGGCAGTCCCCTCTGGAGGGCGCCCACGTCTGCCCGCTCCTTTCTGTGCCCAGAAGGGGTCCGCCGGCTTCAGGCTGGGGTCAGGCTCCGTCCTCGCCCGCCGCCGGCTCCGCGAGGCGGAGCGGCTCCCGCGAGCCCCCCCCCGAAGGCGGAGCGGCTCCCGCAAGCCCCACCCTGCAGCGCGGGTCTCCGGCGACCCCCAGGACTGCTTCGGGGAAGTCCGGCTTCCGAGTTTCCATGGGAAAAGTTGAACCGTGGTGGGGGGACAGATGCTGTGGTCAGACGCGGGTGGCCGGGGGGTCCCCTGGCCCCGGGCCGCGCCCGCTCCTCCAGGCCCGTGCCTCCGTCTTCCACAGCTTGGGGTTTCTGTCGGGACGTGGGGGCCCAAGGCCGCCTCGCGTGGACGCCGACCCCAGGCCCCTGCTGGGCCGGTCAGAGGTGGTTGACGGGGTCAAAGGCTCCGGACTCGGGTGTGGCTCCCGTGACGTTCAGCCAAGCATCCAGGGGACTCTGGGAGGGGGCGTCCTCAGAGAGGGCCAGCATCACTGCATACGCCTGGCGGGGAGACACAGCACATGGGGCGGGCAGGTGAGCGGGGCGCGTGGGGTCCTGCCGATCCCAGGCCAGCTCTGTCCTCGCCCCTTTCCGGCCCCCCGCTGCCCTCCGGCCAGGCTCAGATCCGCACAGGACGGGAGGGCAAAGGTGCGGGGGGCTGGACCAGAGAGGCGGCCCCCCGCCCTCCCCGCCCGGGAGAGGAAGATGGGGCGTGGGCGGGCGGCCAGGACATGTGGCCCACACAGGGGCTCCCTTGGCTTCCTAGGGGTGTCCCCCTACAGTCACCCCTCTTCTCTGTGCCTGGCGGCCAGCAAGCACTCAGGGTAAGCGTGCGCATGGAGCTGCTGGTGGTGGTCGCTAAGACCCCACCCACAAGATGCGGTCCCCATCTGCGGGCGCCTGTGGGGGCCACTGTGGTGACTGCGCAGAGCTCCTTTGGGGACGCGGACGTGCAGTGTTTCGGAGCTGAGCACAGATGTGCTTCCTGGGCAGAGCGTGGCTCAGACTGTCCCCAGGGCGTCCTTCTGCCACAAGCCACAGAGAACTGGGGACGGGACCTGGGGGCCGGGGGGCCGGGGGGCAAGCCCCACCGTCATCCCGCCCGAGTTAACGCTCTGGACAGAATTAGTAGCATGACAAAGACAGACACTCAGACGGCTTTTGCTGAGGCTCGGGATGGGCCGCGGAGAGCTGACCTGACCCCACACTCTCCAGGCCGGCGAGGACCAGGAGGTCGGGGCCCGCGGCCACCTCCTCTAAAGAACAGATGAGAGGCACCTGGGGCCTCGCTGACCCCATCACACCCCAGCATGGAGTCGGTGTCCACCTGACGGCAGCTGCCGGGGAGGAAGCCTGGGCTACGAGTCACCCTCGCAGGGTCCCAGGGGGAGGCCAAGGCGGCCTCACCGGCTGGAAACCTGCTTGCCACGCCTCGCTTGGGTCACAAGACAGCAACCCCGCGTCTCGCGTGCATCTGCTCTCAACCGCCCCCTGCCCAGCGCCTGCTTGCAGGGACGCGGTGGTCATTTGAGCATCTCTCTAGCCGATGCAACGGGCACGGGAGGGTCGATGGGTCCTGGGCCACACGAGAGGCGAGGCCGTCCCTGGTCGGGGAGACACAGCCGCTGCCTGCCGGCCAGCCTGGGGGAGGAGGGGAGGCGGGCTCTGGGGGTACCTACCTGGTTCTTAGCCTGCCTGTACAGAGTCTGTTTTAAAGCCTCAGAGTCTAGGGCGGTACTAAGCACGTCTTTAGCTTCAAATGCTTCCTCGGCTGCTCTGCGGAGGTCCAGCCCCTTCCCAAAAGTCGGCATTGGCTCCAAAGCTAACAGACCGTCTGGCCGCTCCTCAATACACCTGCACCAATGACCGGGGAGAGGGGCCTGCTGTTAGCCGGTCTGGCCTCCGGCCACCTCTCTGATGCTCCACGGCCAGCTCTGTGCCTGCATGCACGCCACGGTGTCTCTGCGAGCCACATGCACAAGGAGACGGACACACGGACACATGGACGCCTGGACAGAAGCCACACGGATGCAGGAGACGGAGAGCCACAGAGAGGGTGAGTACGTGCACATGTGTTGCAAGCAGCAGGCGGGGCACCCAGGTCTCTGGGGATGAGGACAAACAGGGATGCCTCGGTTCCTGAGACTCTGGGCGGCTGTGGAGGGGCCTGGGTTGCTGGGTCCCAGGACCTGGGGGCAGGAAGCTCTTGGAAAGCTGGCGGCATGCCCGATGCTGAAAGGAGCGAGCAGGCAGGACGCGGGGGGTGGCTCCGGCCAGGGCAGCGTCCCTGAGTGCGGTGAGCAGTGGGCACTGCAGCGCCCACGGGGCTGGACGGCGCTCCCTGGGCCGACAGGCAGTGTGCGGCTCGGGGCCGGGACCAGCCCCCTCTATGCCTTGCCCCAGACTCTGTCTCGGGTCTCAGTAAGTGTGTGTGTGTGTGTGTGTGCATGCACACACATGTGTGTGTCGCGTGCACGTGTATGTTGTGTGCATGTGTGTTGTGTGCGCGTGTGCACGTGGTGCTGTGTGCGGTGTGTGCATGTGTGTTGTGTTGTGTGCATAGCACGTGCATGTGTTGCATGCACACGTGTGCATACGCGTGCGTGCGCGTGTGTTGTGTGCACGTGTGCGTGGTACGTGCATGGCATAGCACGTGCATGCGTTGCATGCACACGTGTGCATGTGTGTGTATACGCGTGCGTGCACGTGTGTTGTGTGCACGTGTGCGTGGTACGTGCATGTGTTGCATGCATGTGTGTGCGTGGTGCGTGCACGTGTGTGGGGGTGGGGTGAGCGCGCTGCACCCTGGCCCCTGCGCCAGGCCCGGCCTTGCCCTGTGGTAGGACCACCTGCGGGAGGATGGTGACCCAGCCAGGATGGCGGGTTCTCTGCTGGTGCGAGGGTGAGTCACTGCGTGATGCTCGGGTCCCCCCCCCGCTGGCCCACTGGACCGGCACCCACCTCCGGGTGTGGTCAAAGCCCACGGCCAGGGAGGCGGGTGGCTCCTCATCCTCCTCGTCCTCGTAGGCGCCCCGGGGCTCGGGCGTGGGGGACACAGCGTCCACGTCGTCCTGGGACTTCCCCGCCAGGCTGTCCTCGTCCTCCTCCAGATCCTCCTCCTCCTCCTCCGCGTCCTCTGGCTTCCCGCCGGCCAGGCCTGGACCCTGCGGGGTGCCGTCCAGGTCCTGGGCTTCCGGCCTGAAATGGCAGGGGAGCGAGTTGGCCACCCGCCCCCGAAGGCCAGCGACTCTGGCCGGCTCTTCCCCCATGGCCTCCCCCGCCTCCCGCTCCCTCTGAAGACGGCCTGGCTTGTGCTCACGGACACCGTAGAGCCGTGGCCCTGGCCGCGTCCCCGTGCGGGAAAGTCTGCCCACTGAGCGGGTGGCAGGTGACGGTGGGGGCCACGTCCGAGGCGCCTGCTATGCCAGAGTGGACACCAGGAGTGTGGGGCTCTGGGCAAGGGTGCATGCTGAGGAGGGGCCGCGGCCAGCCTGGTGCCGGGCCGGGCACTGCCCAGGGATGCCCTCGGGGGGCTCTGTGGGGGAAGCCGGCCCAGCCCCGATGGATACCCCTCCTCCTGCCAGCGTCAAGGGCACAGGACGCGTGACGCCCAGGACGAGGGCCCCTCTGCTGATGGAGGGTCTGGACCGGTTCCACAGACGGGGTGCTGGGCCAGGACGAGGCCCCTGGGGTCACTTTGGCCCAGCCAGACTTTCCCACTCTGGGTCCCTGTCACTATGGGAGGAAGCATGCTGGGCATGGGCGAGTCCAGGACAGGCGGGCTGGGCCTGAGGGCCATCTGGGCAGGTGTCCAACACGTGGGCGAGGGGACAGGGAAGGCGAGGCACATGTCTGGACCTGGTCTCCGTGCCTGCAGGCCTGGGGCTCCTGGGCCCCTCACGGCTCACGGCAGCCGACCCGCTGCCGGGGAGACACCGTCCTGCCCTCGGCGCTGGGCAGGGGCTGGCGCCCCCTCCTGTCATTGCCGGCCCGGACGCGGACCGTGCAGACCGGACCGTGCGGAGGGCCTGGCGACCCCGCCCACCTTCGCTTCCTGTCTTTCCGCGAGAGACGGACCAGAGCTGACACCGAGCTGCCTTCCGGGTGGGCCGCACCAACCGTTTCCCTCGTCCCTGGTGTCCCGTGCCGGGCACTGGGTGCACGCCCGTCACCACCAGCAGTGAGCGCTCTGGAGCTGGGCACGGTGGGCCGGGACTGGTCTCCCTCCCCGGCTCTCAGTGGGGAGACCTTGGTGGGGCCTTGGCGCCTCGGAGCCCGTGCCTCTCGGTGACGTGAGCCCACCCCATGCTGGCGACTGGGGAGCAGAGCAGGGGCCCGGGGCGGGGCACACAGACTGTGCTGCGTGCAGCCATGTGTCCCGCATAGAGCACCGTGCGGCTCTGCACAGAGGTCCCCGCGCTGAAGACAGGGGGCCGTGCTCTGCCTCCGTCCCCACCTGCCGCCGGCCACACTGGCGAGAGGCCTGTGTGAGGCACGAGCACTCAGCGGGGTCCGGCAGGTGTGGGCTGTACACAGAGGGGACCCTGGGACGAACCGCCAGGCTTCCGTGTGGCCTGCCAGGCTGCTGAGGGTCCTGGGGGCGAAGTCACATGGCCCACGACTGGGGCTTCAGCCACAAGAAGCTTCTCCCCCAGCTCTGGGGCCAAGGTCGACGACCGGGAAGCTTCCCCGCCAGCTCTGGGGCCGGGGGCCGGGGGTCCAGGCGTCCCTCCGAGGCCGTGCGGGAGAATCCGCCCAGGCCTCCCCGCTGTTCCTGGGCTTGTGGACGCGTCACCCGTCCCTGCTTCGTCCTCGCGTGGCGCCCTCCCGTGTGGCATCTGTGTCCAAACTTCCCCTCTCATAAGAGGCCAGTCGTAGGGGGTTAGGGCCACCTGGCTCCAGTGTGACCTCGTCTTCCCAAACGATATCGCATTGAGAGGTCCTGGGGGCCAGGACTCCAACATGTAAGTTTGAGGGACACAATTCAGTCCACGGATTTAAGGGGCTATGAGGCCAGGGAGCCTGGGGGGCCCCAAGTACTCCCTGAAGTTGGGGGAAGGGAACGAGCTCCAAATGAGAACCGGACCACGATCCTGGGGCCTGGATGGGGCTGCGGGGACCTGCCACTTCACGCAGACGCGCTGACACGGGTCCGGGGGACCACGGCTC